CTTTTAGCATCTAATAATAATAATGATAATAATAATAATAATTAATAATAATAATAAATAATAACGATAATAATAAGGATACATCCGCGAGACGACGACACGACGCCGCGCGCCCGCACAAAGCCCGCTGCACGAATAACCGCGTCGGAATCACTAAACGATCATAAAAATCTAAAAACAGCAGGAAATAGATAAAAAAATATGAAGAAAAGAAGAAAAAAAAATGGGTGAGAAAAGCAGGCGAACGATGTTTTATTAATATTGTACATATTTTAAATAAATTGAAGACGGACAAACAAATCGCGCGCGCGAACAACAGCGACTCATTGATACTAAAGGGCGCTCCTCTTCACGAAGGGTCGCCTTTTCGTCTCGGGTCTATACTTTTCTTTTTTTTCTTGTTTTTCTTGAGTTTAAATAAACGCTTAGTACACGCCATATAGACACGCTATGTACACAGATACATACCCATACAGCGCAAAAGTTGCAGCAACGTTGCTGCAACTTCCTGTGCTGTATGGGATACGTTCACAACACGTACGCCTCATTTATACATTGCCTATAAAAAGAGGTACAATTTGCACACATACACACGCGCGCACGCACGTATGCATGCACGCACGCGCACACACACACACACACAACATAACACAATATACACACACACACACACACGTTTATGAAGATGACACTACACCGTTCCACTAGCTCTCTTCTGATTAATGGTTGACGAAATTCCTTTTTACTATTGATTACTATTCCATAAGTTCCATTTTTTCACATGTACACGTACACACATGGAATTACATCGCAACCCGATACGAATACAACCCAAGTGTCATTACTTTTGATGTTAAATAAAAAATACATAATTAATAACGGTTTCACGTTTCCCTTCCTCTCCTGTTATTTCCGACGAGAAGTTACGAGAAGTTAAGTAATTAGAAAAACCGTTTTTACATTCGTAGAGAGATTTTCAGGCAGTACCGAAAGTTGCGATAACGTCAAAATGATGACAGAATAAGTAAAAAGAACTCAATTTTCGGTCATAATGAAAAAATGATTAAATTACGATTTTGCAATTTAATATGCCATTTTGAGTATTTTGCAATAATTCATATTTATTGTTATATTACTTTCAGAATTTATATAATTATATGTTAGTATTTAAAAATGATAATGTGAGCACATAAGATGTTATTTTTTTAAATTACACCGTTATGATAAGAATGTGATCTTTTGCAATTCCGAATTAAAAAAAATCTAAATTAAAAATTTTTACTTTTTTTCCTTCATAAATTCGTGATACATATTTGTCTAAAGTCTAAATGCTCGCAGCGGCAAAAATGGAGCCATTGTTATTTTTCATACACAAAGCTATTTGCGCTTTCTCAGCGAAATTCACTAAAAGGCCGCAAAAAATATCAAATCATTATTTAATTGGAAATATGAAATAATGTCACCTTGACTGTCCAAAACTGCATTTTAACGTCATTTTGACATTATCTTGATTTTTGTAACTTTTTTTTATCACGTGACAGACTGTGACATCTATTAATTACTCTGTTATTTACTATAATTCTAGTTATAATTATTATTATTGATGAAAATAGCAAAAAAACGAACATCGAAATATCGTTTGAAGCAATATAAGTAGATAAGTAAATTAAATCAAATAAAAGTGCAATAACCCAATAAATATCAAGTAACATAAATATATTTCACTAATATTATGATTTATAATATTAATATTGATAATATTAATTTATAATTAATAATAGTAATATTGCATTAATATTATAATTTCTTACAGCGATCTTATTATTACTTGGTATTTACTAAGAAGAAAATAATCTAGACAACGATTATTACGAACGGTCTTTTAAAGACCTTTCAAAAACGTCGTCTTGAAGTGTTATTAGAAAAACTTCTTTACAACACCTTTAATACATCTCGGATCCTGATTTAAGATGTTTTGAGATATTATTTCAAAATCTCTTAAATACGTCCTGTTTAAAACTATATATTTTTAGGTCCGTACTCATAACCGATAGGACTTTACATTTAACATCGTTTTAAATTCATCTTCAGATGTACGGATCATTTCATTAGCTACGAAGCACTTAAAGATAAACTTGAGCGATCTTAAATATAATATCCGTTTATGCCCAGGAAACGCAAAATATAAATATTATATAACGTAAGAGCAACATATAATGGGGCTGTTATACTTTATTTATGTTGAGATAACAATCGATTTGATTTTACGTAGAACATAATTATGTTTTAAAACTGTTATATTATTTTGTTATTTGTGAGTTATGGCAACCATAGCAATATAATTTATATGTAACACATATAATATGTAACATGTAACATGTAACATATAATATGTAATTTATATGTAACATCATAGTTCAATGTTTTCATTACTTCTTTCTGTGTCACGTAATATTTTTACTGTACATACAAATATCGAATCATTCGTTAAATAACTTTTTCGTATGTAAAATACGATATATTAATATATACGTAAACGGTGATCACCAACACTTGCACCATGGAGTCCATTCCCAGCAAACACAAGCAATGTAATATGTAACATATCTGTTAGTTGTAATTTGCTACTCAATTATAATTGCAACCGTTATATAACACTGTTATATAACGGTTGGTAGGCGTTATATAACAATTATATTGTTGAATAGGAAATTACAACTAGCAGATATATTGCATGTTACATTGTGTTTGCTTTGTTCTTATTAAGTGGCTTAATTTTCAGTTAATGGTAATTACTGCCACCAGTAATAATCCTTCCCACTGAAATATCATTTATAGGATTACGGGAGTGAATAAATTGTAATAACTGCTCAATTGAGAATAACAAAATACCATCATATTATTATACTAGCTAAATATCACTTTTGATTTAGAATAATTATTACATTTTTAGAAACATTTTTACTGATAAATTATCTGACATTTGATTTAATCGCTTCCAACTATCGCATGTAATCGTATATGCAGTTAATCAAACCTGCAGCACCTAGATTTTGCGCATGTCTACCATTAATTTTGGCGGCAACTTAGTAGCCAAAATACAACAGGATCTGCTAGCAAAATATGATGATGACACTAATAGCAGAACACGAGCACTCGTCATGTATAGTACAGGCTGAATCTCTAGGGCGCCTAACTTTTTCTCTAATATCCTAGAAATTCCTATCTGACAGCCAATCGGAACGTCCGACAAACTTGGCGACAAGCATGGGCTGCGTTCCGATAGGTAACTAAAGAGCCTAAAATCAAAGAGCCGCAAACTGTCTGCTAGGCAAGGGAATCTTTTTCCTCGCAAACATGGCGTCCCTTCGCGCGAAGTTCGAAACTAATATCTGAATCTCGTAAATGTATTAGTGTGATTATTCAAATAAAATTGAAATAAATTTACATAATCGTTTGAGAACGAACATAAGTTTTACTGAAAACAGTTATAATTATATATTATAACAATTATATTATATATTATAATAATTTTATTGAACATAATTATATTTTAATAATTACATTATATTATTATGCATTATATATATATTGCTGTTACTAAAATGTAGGTTTCCAGACAGCACATAATATTTACAAAATATTTTAGAAATATAGATCAAATATTTTATAGTTATTGTAATGTTCAACATTCTCTGCTATGAAAACAATTATAATAAATATGTAAAAATATGTCTGCAAAATATGTTTCATAAATCGATTTATAAGTCATAAGTTGTTTCATAAAAATATTTATGAAAAATGGTTTTCTTAAATATTTTTAGATATTTATTATAATCTTTTTCATATCTGAGAATCTCGGACATTACAATATTTATATAATATTTCACATCTATATCTCTAAAATATTTTGCTAACACTGTGTTCTATCTGGGTTATTGCATTCAATAGAAATTTCTTGTGACAATAATTAGACTAACATACTAAAAATAAAAACAGAATTACTTTATTCAATATCGTTGGAAGTCTCTGCTGACTAATAATAAAGTTTTATTTCATGCTTTTGCCTAATAAACGCGAGCCCATGCTGAAACTACCAAATTCTGAACCGGATTCTTTTCGTTCTTCATGACCAGTGAAAATTTTCAGTCGCATTTGAATGAATCTCTTCAGAATAGCTGTTGCAAGATTGTGACACTTTGGTATAGCGGAAGCATACAAATTTGGAAACTCCTTCATTATATTTGTCAAAAATATGTCTGCATTTTTACGGACAGATGTGATGACGTGCTCAACACCTCTAAAACATTCTTCTGCTTTCACGATCAGAGTGAAAATTTCATCGGAAACTTCTACTTGAGAACAATTTGCATAGTTTGTTTGGCGAGTAAATTCACTTTCTGGATGAGCCTGAGGATCCTTATGAAGTACAGCTGAAGAACATGTAGAATAAATTAAGTCTAACTTTGTAACTGTAAAAACTTGATGAACCACATAGCCTGCTACTCTGTACAGTACTTTCCCAGTAAGCAAAATGCTAGCAGAATGCGTGCAGATTGACGCCAATTTCGATCAGATCTCTACATCAAAACCATAGTCATTTGTGTCCTCATTAGGCTTGTGTTTTGTCGACAGGACCTGTGTGACAGGCCGTGCGAGCAGATTGTTGGCAAAAACCGCACAGGTCCTGCTGCCAAACTACGCGTAGAGTCTGCGCGCAGAGTTTGCTCGGTTTCTGCCGCCAATCTGCCATCAAAGTCTTGCGCGATTTTTGCTACAAATCTGCCGTCAAATATCCGACAGCAGGATCTGGCGCATATTTGATCGCAGATTGGCGGCATAATTTGATATAACAAATTCTGCGTTAAATTTGTTGCCTATTTGCCATCAAACTATGATAGCAGGCTTTGTTCGAAATCTGCTCGCGCAGGTTTGGCTATCTGGGTTATTTTCTTTTTGTGGTACTGTGAAAGGTAGAATTATGAAGTCTCTTGGCCAATCTCCATTGTTATTCAAAGCAGTATCCAAAGCAGCAAATTTCAACTCTTCAAAGATATTAATAAGTATTTCTCCCTCTGTCTCAAAGTCATAACTACTTCCAGGTACTTCCCTCAAAAGCATTGAAATAGTAGTTTGTCTTAGCCGTTGCGTTACTTGAAGTGGTGTAGGTGTTGGTCTGCGATACCTTATGACAGAGAAAAGATTTTCAATGATATCTTGAGTAAGTCGACCAGTAAACAGAAAGTCATAACCAAGTTCATTCAGGCACAATTCAGCAAGATCTAAAATAGTCTTAGTCGAAATTTTAATTGCAGTCTGTACAGGTTTCCAACTTCCTGATATATACATATGTTGGAACACATCCATTGTCAGTTTAAGAATAGTAATAGCTTGTTCATAAACCTTTGTATTTTTTTTACTTAAAGCAGATAAGAGGGATCTGCAAGTGACATATTAATAGCACCATCCAAGCTGTTGTAACCATTTCAGGGTCACCTCCTTCCATAAAAGCGATATTAAACAAGCTAGCAGCAGTACGATGATTAATGACTCGTCTCGCGACATTTAACTTCATCTTGTCAAAATGATTGCATTGCACATCACTCCTCTTTAATTTTGGAGTCATTCGCCACATATCTCCACTTTGATAATCAATTAGGGCAAAAATATGAGCCACTTTTACTGCTGAAGAAGGCAGACCTTGTTCTTCAACAATTCGATCAGGAAGATGTATAACTTTATTGTTTGTCAGCATTTCTTTGAAATTTTTAAAAGCGTGCACAACATCAGCCATAACAAACATTTTCTGACCTTCAACACATGGATGGCAGAAGCTGTTATTCAGTATCTGCGGACCCACTTCTATTCCCAGGGCTTTCCATACATTACGATTACCCATATCGCAAGTCAGAACACGAACTGTTATTCCCACTTTGTACGACTCACGTACAATTTCTAGACAGCGATCTTTGACTGCTTCAGAAAAAAAAGAATTTCCAGTGAAATCATAGGCTACTGGTTGTTTCCACCGGACAGCTAGTCCTCCTAAGATCCACACCATGATTTTACTTGCCTTTTCCTTTAGCACTGATAGGGATACCTCAGTCCGCCATTTCTCTCTTGTATCAGGATCAGGATATTGAAGCTTTAACTGTGAAGTTACTTTTGGTTTTGCTCCTGGTATAGTACACCAACCTATGTATGACTTGGTTCCTGGATTGTAATCAATTTTCTTCTGAATTGCCATCTCGTCAAAAATAAGAACGCAGTCTTTGTTTATAGTTTTCATTGAGCTTATTTTTTTATAAAGAAGCTTAAAAATGTCATGCAACAAACCAGGCGAGAACTGTACATGTTGAAGTTTAGATTGAAGAAGACGAACAGACGGCAAAGGCATTTGTAACTGTGACTGTAATTGATATCCAGTGGTGCCAGATGCAAAATGCAACTGTAAAGCGATTTGTAATGTCTTATTTGTCCATTTACTGCCGCGACTCGAACTCAAACATAGAGCATTAAGCTGATCCTCCCCAAAACGAGAAGACAATTTATTCTTAAAAGATGATAACTTTTTCTGCCAATATGTAGCTAATTTACGTAAACTGTCAATTTTTCTTTTCAGGACACGGTTTTGCTGTAAAATACTATCAAGTTTCAAAGATGGATTCAATGTAGGTTGAATATCAATAGATAGAATTTTGGATTGTTTCAGCATAGGTTTCCGACAATTTTGAATAAAATAATTTTTACATTCTACGGTACTGGTATTATATGTCATACAACTGTTTACAATACTAGGATTAGGACTGGGACTTCCTTCTATTATAGAATTATCAAGTATTGTATTATCAGGTATTGTATTATCAAATATTATATAACTATCAGGTCCAGTCATGTTTCTCACTATTATATTGTTATTAATAGATTCACACTCCGAATTTCTGCTATATCTTGTGGTACTTATCACAATGCTACTCTTTGAATTAACATTACTTTTAGATTTCCCACATTGTTCAACATTTTCATATATGGAGTTTGTCAATGTATGAATGTTATTACTTTGACTAAAGTCCCGTAGTTCCGCTATTGCACTTAGACCAGTATTATTATTTGTACTTTGATTATTATTATTAATACTTTGGTTAAAATCAGTTGTTGTTTGGACTTCATTCATCTTACTTGCTATCAATGGTACCTTATATTCTCTAAGAATCACATTCATATTCGCACTACAATATGTTACTCCTATCTTATGACTCGACTGATTATCACAGTGCATAATGCTAGAAGGTACTTGACATTCGTCAAGGTCTCTATTCATATTCGTATCACAAGATGTTACTCCTATATTATGACTCGACTGATTATCGTATTGCACAATGCTGGAAGGTATTTTACATTCACTAAGGTCCACATTCATATTCGTATCACAATGTGTTACATTATGACTCGACTGATTATTACAATGCATATAGCTAGAAGATACATTTCTTTGAGAATTAGACTCTATCGCAGTTGGTCGAGGAACCAAAGATGAAACGATCTGTCTTCTTAAGGCTATGGGACATTGTGTCTCATGTATACATTCTGTTTTTGGACGTCCTCTTTTGATGCAAAGTTTTTCATTCTCTTTATTACTTGTCTTTTTGTTCCTATTCTGTAGATGTTTTGGTAGTCCTGGATGATCTTCTAAAGGATTAAAAGTTTTATTATTGACCTGCAAAGGTTTGACATTCCTACAAGTATTTGAGCAGTTGCAAAAAATTATAGGAATAAGGCTTCGAGTATTTGTTTGTAAATCTTCTCTGCTGAAATGTTCCTACAATATAAGATAAGAACCATAAAACAAAATCTTATGACATAACATCTAAACATATATACTTTCTAAAGGAAACAACTATTTTATAATTTTATAATTGCATTCATACCTCACAAAGATAAAATTCATTTCCCATAGTACTTCTGTTTAATTTTTCTAACCATTGTTGCTGCAGATGAGGAATACAAGGGCACCTCCTGAACTTTATCCCAGTACTATACTTATTTGAACAATTATTTGCACTACATACTCGTACCATGATGCAAATCAATATTTAAACACCACAACATAACTACAAATACTGCAAAAATAATAAAGTAATTACATAATTTGAAATTATTCTTATAAATGTTTCATGCAACAGTAAATAGCCATCAAATCTCTTTAAGGAAATACAATAAAACAAGTTTGTAAAAGGTTATGTTCAAATTCCAGCAAGTTTTTTAGACAATGTATTTACATTAGAAACATGTTTCAAAAGATTTAATATAAAATCCACTTACTTTGTATTCTATGATAGACACACTCTTATTTTTCTGCCTTCACATTTTAATGTAAATTAACCTCGCAACCTTCTTATCTAGCAGACAGCTAGCGAACTGTACGATTTTTCCTCGCAAACATGACGTATTCTGACGTTATATAGTACAGCCAATCAAAAACGTGGAGGCAGTTTGCGGCTCTTTGATTTCAGGCTCTTAGGTAACGCGACAATTTCCCGAAAAATGGCGGAGACAAGGTTGGTATCAACGAAAACTTCTAGACGACATAGTTTTAATTCCTAAAGGTTAGTAATATTGTTTAAGTGGTAAGCTGTTAGTTTGCGCAAACTTTTTGACAGATGTACGCACGTGTGTCAAATATTACGTATCGTCAAATTATAAAATATAAAATACTTTATAATATTAAGTATCTATGTATAATCAGTAATGATAGATGTCGAACCGATTCTTTCTTTCGATTAATTTTTTGTTTCAGCTTCCCAGCTATTTAAGTTCTTGCAGAATATTAATAGTTGAAGGCCACTTTCCTGTAAAATAAGATTACCAAAGTCTGAGGTTACTATGTCCTTGAATGCGTCCCAGTAAGCAAAAGTTGAATCACATCCTAACGTCAAATATCAGAGTAAGATGTGTTACTAGCAATGTGATGACAGATTAATGCATCAAACTAAAGCCAGCGGCACACGGTGCTTGTTTTCGTGCTGGATTGCTTGCTGATGAAAATACTGGGTTCTGATTGATGCATTTCCATCCATCTTCGGAAATGTACCAATCACAACGCAATATTTTCATCCAGCAAGCAATCCAGCACGAAAACAAGCACCGTGTGCCGCTGGCTTTAGAATAGGTTAGTAACATTGATGTTTACTGTCATATCATCAATGCTTTTGACAGCTGTATTCGAAATTTTGTTATCACTATCATGTAGCGTACTGACTGATATATTCTTCTTATCTTTTAGGAAACAGGATGTTTTGCCTATGTTTGCCTCTGCAAATAAGGTTATTGTGATTCGAACTTGGCTATCACTGGCAAATAGTAAATGTAACAAAATGATAAGAACTATTTACACTGACTGTGTCTTTTTTTTCATAATTTCACTCACACACAACTTCATACACATCTATGTATGCATCAAATACTTAATATAATGACAGATTAATGCATCAAACTAAAGCCAGCGGCACACGGTGCTTGTTTTCGTGCTGGATTGCTTGCTGGATGAAAATATTGCATTATGATTGGTACATTTCCGAAGATGGATAGAAATGCACCAATCAGAACGCAGTATTTTCATCCAGCAAGCAATCCAGCACGAAAACAAGCACCGTGTGCCGCTGGCTTAACACACGGCACAACCACCAATTAGATTTAGGCACAGTTTACCTCGTCGCACCGTCCCGCAATGGTTATCACACCACAACTCTATGCTCTGTCCCTATGTCTATGGAAAAAGCTGTGATGATATTACGTAATTTTATAGACTTAAGGCCTATCCAGACAAACTTGTATAAGCGCGTAATACATATGCATAAGGAAATTGACTAATTATGATCCGTGTAGTAAAAAAATATTTTTTGTATTAAACATACGATTAGTCAATTTGCTTATGCATATGCGTTACGCGCTTATGCAAGTTTGTCTGGATAGACCCTAAGGGCCAGAGCACAGGCTTCTGCATAACGCATAATACATAACGCATAAGAGAAACAACCAATCAGAGTTTTTCATTTCTGTCCTGAGGAGGGAAATGAAGAAAATTAATTGGTTTATTCTCTTATGCGTTGTGTATTATGCGTTATGCAGAACCCATAGAAAGGCGTAAGCAAGGAAAAGAAAATAGATAAGACAGGAAAGTTGATGCTTATAATAATTCGTACTACCTAATAGCTTTTCTATGACAGATCGGGAATCTTCGGTTATAGAGGATTGTGTTATACCATATTTAATGTTTTATTTCTAATAACCTCTCTCTCTCTCTCTCTCTCTCTCTCTCTCTCTCTCTCTCTCTCTCTCTCTCTCTCTCTCTCTCTCTCTCTCTCTCTCTCTCTCTCTCTCTCTCTCTCTCTCTCTCTCTCTCTCTCTCTCTCTCTCTCTCAGTTAGTGAATATTAAACAATCTTTAACTAAAAAGGATTTATTAGAAATGAAAGTAATATTTGTAAAAAGAGAGAAACAAAGAGATAGACCAATGGGTGCAATAATGAGAATTTTAATGGGAGAGGAAATAGAAGAAGAAAAAAAAGAAAATTTACGACTAGAACGCATATTTTTAAGAGATTGAAGCAATCCATTTGATTAGCATAAATCTCCTGGGGACGTCCAGAGACATCCCGTCCTAAGGATATAGGATGTCTCCAGGACATCCCTTGGATGTTTTCTGAACATATTTGCTATTAGGGATGTACGGTACAGTCAGAGTAAAATATTAAATAAAACCTTTATTTTCATAAATAAATAATGATACTTATAAATAATAACATATACTAATAAGATTTTAATTTTCATATTTTATTTCATTATTGAATAAAATATAAGAAATGGAACAAATACAAGGTGGTTCAAATATGAATTTAATTTAATTAAGTAATTTTATGTGTGTGTGTGATAAGATATATATATTCAATATAATATAAAATAATATTTACCCATAATTTCTTTTAAATTCATATGAATTTTCACTCACTTTGCCACTTATTAATAACATTAGCAAGAACATAGACACCTTAAAACTAGAGAACGTACACACGTCATTATATAAAGTGCCTCGTAAAGGTTAGGAAATAGATATAGAAAGAGCTATGAAGGTCTTTCTATTTCCAGCACTTCGGATGACAACCGAAACAGTCCGATGATGCACGATTCTACTTACATAGTTACTCTTTTTATATAGACAGGAAATTTCTTTCTATTTCTTCGTCTATCATTTTACATAGTTCCATGGCTGCTTACTAAGCGCTTAGTGATTATCGTTTTTGATTGGTTCATTCCTCTGGATTTGTTAAAGATCTAAAAGAATACTCCAATCATAGATAATAATCACTAAGTTTAGTAAGCAGCTTTTTCTGCTGAACGCAGCCAATGGTCACGTTCAGCGGAGAAAACTACTCCGCTACCACTCAGTAGCAAATGTTCATGATTGGAGAATTCTTCTAAATCTTTGGCAGGTCCGAGCAGACGTACAAATCAGAGACGTTTGCTACAGAACGGTAGCGGAACAGTTTTTTCACTGAACGCCACCATTATCAAGCCGGTTGCATACAGGACGCTGCAACGCTTGCCGCACGTTGGTGGAAGTTCGTTAGAGAATATCGCAGTAACCAATCAACGTTCCACATGTTCGTAAATACTATTTTCGAGCAAGCAAGATGCTGAATGGCTACCGCAATATTCCCTAGCTATTACATCAAGCCGTTCTATAGGCGGCACATTATCTGAGCTTTCTCTAAGATAATACGTAGTCAATAAAATAGCTTGTGCAGCTGAATGTTCCTTACTGGAAACGGCCAATAGAGCCGTGTGTGTGATTCAAGGTTCCTAACAATCTAGTTAACTAGTTTGTTTTTATGTAATTGAGTGCGACGCCTAATCTATGTGTGTGACACAGTTTGGGGTGGATCGCTACCGAAAGAGATTCGTGTGTCGTCTTCTTGAGGTGCATGACGTAACGAGGTCGTTTCCTGGCGCAGTATTTCTTAGTGGCCATTTTGTTTTCGACAGCACTGACTGATTCAGGTATTACATATACACATAATTAGTGTTAAAACTTTAGGCGGTCCAGCGAGACGTTCGACAAGGCGATCATGTTCGCTTATGCAGAGCAAATAACCGTAGAAGGATAGTCGCCATTCCGATAGTAAATCTCGGAGAAGGTCGTTGAAGAGACGGCTCGCGTTTCCCTCTGTCCCTCTATTCTTCTCGTTTTTCTCGTCAAGATCAAAGTCCAAGATCCCTCGTAAAATACCTACAGAATATTTCACTATCGTATCTATCGTTCTTTGAGCTGATACGAAATATCTTGATCCTCATCCCTCCGTGCCCCATCCATCCCCTCCTTCATTGGTCTTCCCAGGAATGTAAGAATTCTCGAGACGAGCTGGCGACACATAGGGTTTGATTAGCAATAGAAATCTGACTAAATCCACGATTGATCAACGATCTCGATCGTCGATATTTCCTAAATATCGATTATTGTATTACGATGAGTACGGTAACAGATGATGAGTGTGAAGCAAAATCGCTTTATATCACTTGGTTTCTCTTCTTGAGATGTCCTTTCACACCTCGAGGCAGACTGCCAAATTGTGCGATCACCATGCCATGTCTCTTTTTGTACTTTGTAACTATATATCACATGATAAGTGGCAGCTTGGTGATCGCAAGCAAGGCTACGTCGCCCAATGCGAAGTATCCTCTCTCGCTCTCTTTCTGTTCCGTTTTGATTATTTTTAATTGAGCTACCTGACTACGCCATGCTCTCTCTGTGTCTCTCTCTCGCTCAAAGTCCGTCTGTCTCTCTCGCGAATGCACACTTAAAAACGAAAAGAAAAAAGAGAGAAAGTCCAAGTCAGAGGAGAAGGCGCGATGATTGGAAATAGGCAGTGTACTCATGGAAGGTAGTTTCTATCCTTATAGGTGTGTCCGTTCATCAGTACGGCCCAGCGCAGCACAATGGACTCAAAGCGGTACGAACGCAGCGGCAGATCAAATACCGAATCACCACCTGCTCCACCCTCGCCTCCCATGTATAGCACAGGTTACAGCACGTCACAGCATGACGGTCATAAGAATAGAGGCAACTCGCGGCGCACGCCCTCGCCTAGTACGGACTACCATCGAGGCAGTAGATCCTCGCGGAACGACTCGCCGCCTCAGGAGCGACGTAGACGTCGTCGCAGCGGCTCCAAGTCGTCCCCGATGCGTTCTCACAGACGATCGCGGTCATGCGACAAGGAGCGGGACCGAGATCGCGATCGCGACAGAGAGAGATCGCGCAAATACTCCAGAAGGGACAGATCGCGATCGAGATCGCGCGGTAGATCCCGCTCGAGAGACAAGAGACGCAGTCGTAGTCGTAATCGCAGCAGGGATCGACACAGATACAGGGAAAGCCGCAGACATCACACCAGGGCACCCTCGTATGAGTCGGACGCATTGGAAAATCACGGCGAAGGCGCGGGCGCGGCGCTGCATCAGACGACGATAGTCGCCCCACAGCCGAATGCCTTCAAGAACGACGGTAGTTTTATGGAGATGTTCAAGAAGATGCAGGAGCAAATGCAGCCAGCTGCACAGAAACCCACTACCTCGGTGTTGGAAGAGAAGTCCGTAGTGCCACCGCCGTTGATGGTAGGCAAGAGGAGAGGCGGTAGGATCCTAAAGACCGGCATGGTGGCGAAACCGAAGGCGGAACAGACAGTGGAGCAACCGAAGGACGCGTGGTCGTTGTACATGGCGGAAGTGAAGAAATATCGTGAAGTCTGCTGCCAGGAAGAAGACAATACGCGACCGTTGGTTAAATAGCTCGCGAACCTCCCGTGTTATTTCTTCTTTATCTTCACTCTGGCTCGTTATTTTCTTCTACTATTACTACTACTACTACTACTACTACTACTACTACTACTACTACTACTACTACTACTACTACTACTACTACTACTTCTAAGACATCTGTAGCTAATTATCGTTAATTATTAAGATACCGTGTAAAGGAATGCTACTCCCGGAGGTGTCTTTTGTTCGTTTCATTTCGTCGCTAGCTTCGCTAGTTTACTCTCGCAAGTATAACGAGATTGTTCCGTGACAATCCGAATAAGAGAGACAGAGGAGAAAGAGAGAGAGAGAGAGAGAGAGAGAAAGAAAGAGAGCGAGCGAGAGCGAAATACAACGAAGAGGGAAAAAAAGTCGGGAGAAGCAGATTCATTTTGTGATATAGTGTCGTGTGTGCTTTGAGAGATGAAAGGACGAGAGCGAGAGATGAACCATAGAATTTACATTTGCGAACATACTCTGGAAGATAATAGATGGAGGGAGAGAGGGGATTAGATATGACGCGAGAATTTGCCCCAAGATTTAGAAATTAAATAATTTATCGATTGTTAAGCAGTGCCCTATAACATCACAAACATGAAGTTCAAGCCGTCGGAAGCCATACAGGAACAGTTTCCAAGTGTACCCTTTGATCCTAGGTTCCCCAACCAGAATCAGACCAGGTAAGAATCTAAAGTAATCAATGTAACTACCATTAGTAATAAGATTCAAGTATTATCAAAAGAGTAGAGATGGCAAGAGACAGTAACTTGGAAAAGAGAACATGATCTGAATGTAGGAAGTAGAAGTCGGTTTTCCTTAAACACGTGTATAAATGATATATCCAAGAATCGTCATTACAATTACGTGCTTCGTTCACATTGTACACTCAATATGTGATATACCTGACTGTTATAACTATAAATACATTATAATTACATTATATGTATAATTATACGTTTTTTCAATCTTGCACATATAAACAAAATTGTATACGTACTCGTAATCTTAATTATGATTGTCAGGTATATGACACTATACAAAACAGTTAGTATATTTGATATTTGAGGCTTTTGCAATGTGGAATAATTTTTATTTCAGCTGTCAGGTTGAAGCTGCATTTTTTGTCGAGTTGCTTCTGATAGCTCATTAAAAAACGAAAGATTTAACCTGAAAGCCAAAAAGTAGTTATATATTTTTCTAAATTGTATTCGTATCGCGTGAGAGAAATATTTTACGCCATATGTATATTACTACCAATGAAAGTGCAGCCAAATTACAAAATATCTAGTTGGTTGTAGATTTGATGAACCAAATTGTGACCAACCTCCGATACAAATTATGAATAAAAATTCCAACTTTGACTAACTCTGTTCAGGCAGTTTTGGCAAATTGTAGAACTGACTCCCGCTAATACATCTACTGATTCAATACTATAGTTCAAGATATTGTAACATTGGTGTAGCTTCATTTTGTTACCTTGAAGAAAGTTGCGGCTGTATATATACATCTATTCTTCATACTCGCATCAAATCGCACTTTCTGCTTGAAATGAAATATACACAGGGTGTCTCAAAAATAACGGACCACCCTAATAACTTTCCAGTATTGAAGTTTCAAGGAAAATGATCTGAATAAAAGTTGTGGGGATTTAAGTGAACTACCTTATGATGACCTTGACTTTGACCTCGACCTCTATTTTCAAGGTCATTTGAAGGTCAACTTGCGTTTTTTTAATGGGAACCCTTATTTTTTATTACATTGTTTCTTTCTACTAGTTAATTTGAACAACTTTTGTCTAAAACATTTTTTATTTGTCTAATATTTTTTTTAGATATTTGAGGAAAACTTGATAACTTTTTCAATATTTAACTTACGATATCTCGCTAACTATTTGTCGGAAGAAAAAGTGGTACTACATTTTCTTGCTTTATTTAGTCTCAAGAATATATTGTTACAATAACACCCTGACTTTTGTTAATTTGATGATTTGAAATTTCCAAAAGTCAGTAAGTTAACAAAAGTCAGGGTGCTATTGTAATAATATATTCTTGAAACTAAATAAAGCAATAAAGTCTAGCACCACTTTTTCTTCCGACAAATAGCGAGATATCGTACGTTAAATATTGGAAAAGTTATCAAGTTTTCCTCTAATATATCAAAAAATATTCAACAAAAAAAATGTTTTAAACAAAAATTGTTCAAATTAACTAGTAGAAAAAAACAGTGTAATAAAAAATAAGGGTTCCCATTTAAAAAAACGCAAGTTGACCTTCAAATGACCTTGAAAATAGAGATTAAGGTCATCATAAGGTAGCTCACTTAAATCCCTACAACTTTTATTCAGATCATTTTCCTTGAAACTTCAATACTGAAGACTTATTAGGGTGGTCCGTTACTTTTGAGACACCCTGTATATATATTTGCTTATTTTATATATATGTGTGTGTGTGTGCGTGTGTGCGTGTAAAAGCAAACAATTACACACACGCACATATGTGTGTGTGTGTATGTGTATGTAGTTGTAATAAGTCATATGCAATATATATATATGTAATATATTTATATATATTCATATGTATATATATACACTTAATGGAATAAAGTAGAACACATAAATATTACAAGTTAATTCAGAAAGTGCGGTTGAAAAAGCTGATTTTGCAAAGATCATATGTTCACACAATAAAGTACGGAAAAGAGATATACTAGTTTCATTTTTTACACCACAGTTTAAGAGAAAGTCATACAAACATAATCATTATCGCATATATATTTATTTTTCTATTCAAAACCAAAAGGAAAGACTCTCGAGAGAACGTCGTTAATTGTGTCTAATGATCTATAGATATTGTTACCAGAGCTACCTAGACTTTCATCGATGCAAGAAGAAGCACAGCGAGAAATACGACGCCTGCCAGTACTTTAAAAGAATCTACGCGTCGTTATGCCCAAATGCCTGGGTAGAGAAATGGGATGAACAGATCGAAGCTGGCAAATTTGCTGGTCGCATATAGGATTCCTGGTGTGGCCGATATGGATTTATCGCCGGCGGCATCTGCGTTTCATCGTAGTGAATTCTTTAAACATCGTCAAACAGGACCCTAGTGATCATTTCCTGTTTGTAAAATAACTCATATCCAAATAAATGATGACACTTCAATCTTCTTCGTCGCCGTAATTAGAATTCCCCCTCGCGCAAGTAAACGTAATCGTATCTATGTGTATGTGCTGCGTCGACAACGCTTATTTTTTTTCTTCGAATGGCAATTACGATTGTATTTTGTCTGATGAAGGTATCACGCAATAGTACATGGCAGATTTTAATGAGTTATAGGGATATACTGTAATTATAGAACTTGCTCACATACTACAATACATCAGGCTTTTATCTCTCAATAAAGTTACTCTTTAATTCAATCAATAGTCTCTCATAGATTACTGTAAAAATGAAAAATATATAATGCGATGTTGACACATGTTCTTCAAAATTATCTTTTCGTGCGAGCGAATAAAATATGAAGATAATTAAAAGAAACGCAAATTAATCAATCACAGATGCGTATATTTTCAGACTAATTAACGCATAGTCTTTATTACTTATAATCTGATTAGATTATTGGTCATTCACTATTCGACAATCTGTTCAATATATTTCGGCGTGTTTCCTTAATATACGCTATGTTACATGTATACTACAGGACAAAATCTAATAAACACTTATTTAGATAAGAATCTTCTTACGTATAATCGCATGGTATATATATTTAACTTACATTACTTATGATAAAAAGACCGTCATATGAAAATAAAATATCGAGAAAGGGATAGGAAAAGAACATACAAATGCATATGTGTCAATGGAGACCAGCAACTTTCAGTTTTTTCGGCTGCCGTACTGCAGTTTCCGTTTCGCTGTCTGACGACTCTGATTCTGTGTCGTTGTAATTGCCCAAGCCCATCGCTTCGGACGTGTTCACTTCGCACGACTCTGGCGGGAAATTACCGCTGGCTCTGGCCTTTTCTAACAAACGAACTTTAGAAACAAAGTCCATTAGGAGAAATAAACGAGTAACCACTACGTTCTCATTCTTATAGTTGTGACAGTAATGTTCTCAGTTATTTCACAATGGAAGCTTTATGCTACGTGGAGCTACGTTTGCTTTAACGAATATACGGTACAGCTCTCTTTTTATTGGTTCGCCATAAAGGATTATGTAAATATAAATTGTAATTTGATCGAAAAGCCATTGCTGTTAATTTCGTAAAAAAGCAAAATGCTCATAAAATACCTGAGAATGCAAAGTAAACTGAAAGAAATAGAATAAATACGAATGAGACTAAAAATAGTTGTTTATATGTGATATGCACTAAATATTCTGAGTAAGTTTTAGCAACAAAAGTCGTAATATCTAATTAATTAGATACAACTGTTCTTTTTTTCATAGTTCTTCAAATAAGAATCGATTCTGTATATTATATAAAGTGTACGCAAATTAAACACCCGTTATGTGATAGACAAAAGGAAGTCGTGTACTACTTTATAAATTTTACAAATTAGTACACAACCTCGCTTCATTTTGACTCGTTATATCTGCACACAATGAGTGCATCTTGAATTTTTGGGCATCCTGTACAAGATATAATTAAGAGAACAGCTAAATTTTCGCAGTTTTCTACCTACTTTAACTCTGAGTGCTATGAACATACATATGCGTTACAAAAGTGTCATTGGTTTATAATATGAATACATACATATGTATTTAATGGATACATGATTTTTGTAAGGATATGTACACAATATTTGATGATCTAATAACTTTTTATATACAGAGTTATCTATTTTGAACGCTCATTTAAAATATTTCTGAGGTAATGTATTATTTAAAAAAATATTTGACAAAAGTTCTAAAACGAGTCGTGCGGCAAGGTAAATCTTAAGGCAAGAGTCCTAATTTTTTTAAAACATAACACCTATAACATCTATAAACATAACAAAAGTCATTACCGCATGCGAATGCCTGGCCTAAAAGCATTTGATGTTCACAATGCTCACTGTGTGTGAATAGCGATCTCAGAGGTTTTTACTTGTTAACATCGTAACAGGCATCGTAACAAGTGACACATCGTAAAGATTAGCGCTAGCTCTATACCGTTCATAATAGCTGTGTTCAGAAAATATAACAGTTGAGTACTTAATTAAAGCTATTAGTCAAAATGTAAAGATCTAAGGTAAGAGAAAGATAAATAATCACTAATTTTTCATTGAGCACTTTGTTTTCTGAACACAGCTAATAATTTGTCTTGTTTTTGAGCAGTCCATAGTTTAAGACCTAAAAGTGGTCATCCTATATATAGAAAACAGCAGTGAAACAAAAGATGGGTCCTTATTAATTATTATTATCTTCCAAGAAAATATATGTTTATTCAACTTTCATATTTTATATTATACTATATTATAGTCTTTCAAATATATACAACCAAAAGATCCTGGGGATTTTAGACCTACCAAATGTTAAAGTATTTATGTAATCTAATATGTAACTACATAAAAAGTAAGATACTCACTTTGAGCATCTAAGTATGTGTTTTGCTTTTTGAGATCTTCAATACTTTGTTGTTGAGAAACATTTTTCTTCCGCATAGTTTGTATATATTCTGCTGCCTTCTTTAGGATTTGAGCTCTACTCGCAGCTTTTTCTGCTTGTAAGGTTGGTACAGCATTTTTCAAACTGGAGAAACTGTCTTTAATATGATCCCGACGTTTTCTCTCCAAAGCATTATGATGTGCTCTTTTTTCTGCCTATATAAGCAAGTTAATAATAACCCATATTAACACATTGATTGTTATGAAAGTCAATTGCTGATAGTCAGTTGCTATAATATTAGTGTTTTAATTAATATATGAAATATATAATCCCAATTGCATATAACAAATTAAATATAACATAGGGAAACAAAAAAGTAAACCAAAGATTATATGCATTATAAGAACTATATTTATTTACTATATCTTTGGTGATGCAAACTTTAATTGAGCATTGAGATAATCAATGGGAAACAACATAGCAGTTAACATATTAAGTACTAATATTTCATAAACATACATTATTTTTATGTATACAAGCATATCTACAAACATACGCATCTATGTACCAGTCTTTCAAAAACCAAATAGATCAACTTTGCTTTTTATACATTTCTTGATTAAAATACCAATGCACATAATTTTTAACTTTTTAAAATTGAGGAACTTATAACAAATAAACTTGACTAGTCAGGCTCAAATAAACTTAACATCGACTTTTATCTTCCCAGAGTTTTATAGAGCATCAATACTTTTAAAATTAAACAAAGATCTAAATAGTGCTCGTAAAACTAAACTAAATGCTTTAAGTTAAACACAATATATATCATAATAAAAGTCAACAAGGAACAACATTGAATAAAGAAAATAATAATGCAATAAAAAACTCATTCAGTGAGAATAATCTACAGATTCTGTTATTCATAGCAGAAAAAGTTCTAGATTGATTATAAAATAAATCTTACCTGAGAACAGTATTGCGTATTGTTAGAGTGCCTAAGTCTGGAATCAGAGTCGTCACCATCCTGAAAACGAAAGGTTTGATCAAAAAAAGGATTCTCCAACAAAGTCACGAGTTTTTCACAATGTTACTCACATCACTTTCGATGTCGATATCGCGATCGTCGTCGCTCATATTATCCACGGGAATCACAAACAAAACCAACAAAGCAACAAGAATCACACCAACAACACAAACCGCGACCAAAGCACGTCACAATCACAACTTACGACGAACCAGGGAATAAGCTTAAAAGGAAAGAGTTGAAGTCGTGTTACACTACATAAAAGGTTGATAGATGGCGGCAGTTGCTATTGGCACCTAAAGTCACTAGATAATATAGGCCGGAATTCATAATCAAGTCTTATATTTAAAATCGTTTTAAGTTCATCTTCAGATACCCTGTAGCCAATGAAATAATTTATACAGTACCTGACAATAACCTTAAAACGATCTTAAATATATAAGATCCAACTATGGCTGCGTTCCGATATTCACTGCCAGTACTGAAAATCTATAATATATGTGACATAAAGTATATATTTTCAATACTGGCAGTGAATATCGGAACGCTGCCTATGAATACCGGCCATAGGCAGGTATTCATAAACTGTGTTACAGAGAGAAACCTGAGAGTGGCCACCGGGCGAAAGCATATGTCTGACCTGATACGCCCCCTGAGAAAATAGACGTCAACTAACTCGATGTCTCGGTAACGATACGAGGTTTGTGTCTGTGATTTGAGTCTGATTAATGTCCGAGCTATTAAAACAGACTATAGTGAAAATGATATACTAGGTGCGCAACTAAGTTTCCGGATTCTTTGATCAATGAAAAATGGAAAATTTCAAGAGAAATACAAAAAATGGTTTATTCAAAGTATCGTGCCTCGCTAGCTACATATTTTTGCCATCTCTCTGGCAATACATGAATACCGCGACGATAAAACGACGCGTCTTTGAACCGAAACCATTCATCCAACCAATTTTGCACTTCTTCGAAATTGGTCAAGTGTTGCCCAGCCAAGCCATGCGCCATCGATCGGAACAAGTGATAATTGAAAGGGGCCAGGTTTGGCGAATACGGCGGGTGCGGTAGCAGATCCCATTTCAGCGTGGGGACGATGGAAGTGTGATGGCACGGAGCGTTGTCGTGCTGCAATATCACTCGTTCGTGTCTCGTGTCCCATTCTGGCTGTTTTTCGAGGAATGCATGGTTCAAATTGATCAGTTGTTGTCGGTAGCAATGCCCATTGACAGTTTCACCCGGTTTCAGCAGCTCATAGTACACGATTCCTTTCTGGTCCCACCAAACCTAGAGCATTGTCTTCTTTCCGAAGCGATTTGGCCGTGCCGTCGATGTTGATGCTTCGCCAGGTGAAAGCCACGATTTTTTGCGTTTGGGATTCTCGAAATATATCCACTTCTCATCGCCAGTAACAATTCGATGCAAGAAACTCTTTTTTTCATGCCGCAAAAGCAAAATTTCGGAAGTGACTCTTCGATTTTCCATCTGTCTCTCAGTCAACTCATGCAGCACCCATTTTCCTTCCTTTTAAATTTTTCCCATGGCATGTAAACGTTTGGAAATACCTTGGCGAGTCATGTTTAATGCCTCCGCAAGTTGATCTTGTGTTTGCATATCATCTTCATCCAATAACGCTTGCAGATCGACGTCCTCCGGCTTGTTTTTGGTCTTCCGGAGCGCTCCTTGTCCTCAGTGTCGAAATCGCCACTTCTAAAGCGTTTAAACCATAATTTTCGATGACGCATGTTCGCCGTAGGCCTTCTTAAGCAAACGACGTGCTTCACCTGCACTTTTTTTCAAGTTAAAGCAGAAAAGCAAAGCTTCCCACAAATACTGTTTATTTGGCACAAAACTCGACATCTTCGTTGTTAAAAAAAATATTTTTGCGTTGCGATATGTGTTGGTATTACGACTGGTTATAGTTAACAGATGTCCAAGCTATAAAAAAAACACAACTTCAGACATGTATGTCGACTACATGTGTCATTAGCGCCATCCATGTGTGAAACCCGGAAACTTAATTGCGCACCTAGTATATGTAGGAATAGTGTATATGAGTAAGAGAAGGATGACAATTGAATTGTTTTGACTTTATCTCACCACCAGTGAGCAGACACGCGACACAGGCACAAATAATGCTGGAAATTCTTACGCGCACGGTCGAGGCTTACCTCCACCACTCGATCTTCGCTGTCTTCTCACGCGCTTGACGCACTGAACGAGATTGAAATAGCCCGTTCATGCTCGCCTTGTCGCACTCTGAGCGAAACAGCTTATTCATTATCAGTGACAGCAGATTTCAACCTAACGGCTCCGCGACTCACGGTGGAAAGGGAAACGCGCAAACGAAAGCCGCATACATGTGGCACATGTACGCGGCTCTCGTTTGTATACGTTTTCTTTTCGACCGTGGCACAGTGGGTCAGAATATCTCTAAATGTGGCCAAAAGTCAATATCCACATTGATCTAAAATAAAGTTATTATTGTATTTAGAATGTTTGAAAATATTATAGTTATAAGAGAAATGTTATGTTGATTGGATTGTTTTTGTATCAGTCTTAATAGGATGAAATTACAAAATATATTAACACTTTTCTTCATTTTCTTTACTTTATCGTTTATATATTAAACAATTATATATTATTTTTCGGACCTTTAGTTAACGAATATGATGAGCAAAGATTAAGAATGAAAAATATATAAAATTGGAGGAAATAAAAATAAATTATAATATATTACATTCTCTTTTATTGCATTATTACAAGTATATTAATCATAAATACTCACTGCCGATTTACCATTCCCCGAAATTCCACTTTCGAGAAAGAGCATTCTAAGTTATATATGCTGCTTATGATATATATTTTAAGAAAAAGTTGCTACTTTTTGCTACTTTTGTTACACAACGTAAGCAAACATATATAAACAAATCATCGCCTATATCTAAAGGCCCGTACTGTTACGCCGCGATGTTAATGAGCAAGTCAGTACGGGCCTTTAAATGTAGACGGTGACTTGTAAACAAGTTGCTTACGTTACGTAACAAAAGTAGCAAAAAGTAGCAACTTTTTTTTAAAATATATATCATAAGCAGCATATACAGGGTATTTGAAAGCTTATCATGCAGACGAAAGTTGGAGATAGATTGGGAGTAGCCGAAAAGAAAAGTCATGTACCATAATGTTAAATTGGCAATAGTTACCGAGTTATTAATTAAAACATGTGAGCCAACGAGCGCGTAGAGAGCGGAGGGCGACCCCAGTAAGCACGTAGACATTTGATACAGGCAAAGTCAGCGAGTGGCGGTAGGTGAGCGCGCGCGACGAGGAGCGAGCGAACTATAAGGAAAAAGCTATAAAGAAAAAGCTCGCTCGCTTCTCGTCGCTCGCCTACTGCCACTCGCTGACTTCGCCTGTATCAAATGTCTATGTGCTTACTGCGGTCGTCCTCCGCTCTCTACACGCTCGTTGGCTCACATGTTTTAATTAATAACTCGGTAACTATTGCCAATTTAACATTATGGTACATGACTTTTCTTCTCGGCTACACCCAATCTATCTCCAACTTTCGTCTGCATGATAAGCTTTCAAACACCCTATATAACTTAGAATGCTCTTTCTCGAAAGTGGAATTTCGGGGAATGGTAAATCGGCAGTGAGTATTTATGATTAATATACTTGTAATAATGCAATAAAAGAGAATGTAATATATTATAATTTATTTTTATTTCCTCCAATTTTATATATTTTTCATTCTTAATCTTTGCTCATCATATTCGTTAACTAAAGGTCCGAAAAATAATATATAATTGTTTAATATATAAACGATAAAGTAAAGAAAATGAAGAAAAGTGTTAATATATTTTGTAATTTCATCCTATTAAGACTGATACAAAAACAATCCAATCAACATAACATTTCTCTTATAACTATAATATTTTCAAACATTCTAAATACAATAATAACTTTATTTTAGATCAATGCGGATATTGACTTTTGGCTACATTTAGAGATATTCTGGCCTACTGCGCGTGACCGCGGAGCCGGTAAGCTGAAATTTGCTATCACTAATTATGATCGCCTTGTTGCGCGCTGACAAGGAAAGAATCGGGGCCGTCCTTCACTGATTTTGATGGACATTGGATATTTTATAGAGCATCAAAAAACATTAGATATGTATTCTTTTAAGTGCTTATCTCGATGTTTAGAGGTCGAAACTCCTTGAGAAAAACGAACTTTTTCGTTTTTATTTAATATCTCTTAAAATATGAAGTATATGAAAGAGTCTTTCAGACAAAAGTTTTACAGTATTTTATACTCTTTCCATCGATCTATTCAAATGTTTCAAAATGCAATATTTTATCCCTTCCCCTCCCTCCTCTTCATTACCTTTGCAAATTTTTAAGTTTTTATAAGGACAAAAATTAAAGAGCATTTAATGCCAAATCCGCCGATATACAGACTGTCTTAGAAATACCGTACTCTCCGAATAACTTTGCAGAATCAAGTTTCCATGAAAAACTTTAAATACAAAAGTTGTAAAAAATCAAGTAACGGACTTGATGGTGACCTTGAATTTGACCTTGGCCTTCAAGGTCATTTGGAGATCAACATGAAAAATTTTAATGGCAACCCCTATTTTTTATTACATTGCTTTTTTCTACTAATTAATTTGAACAACTGTTGTCTAAAACATTTTTTTAGTGGCCTAATATTTTTTGAGATATTTGAGGAAAACTCGATAACTTTTTCAATATTTAACTTATGATATCACGCTAACTATTTGTCGGGAGAAAAAGTGGTACTAGACTTTCTTGCTTTATTTAGTCCCAAGAATATATTGTTACAATAGTGCCCTGACTTTTGTTAATTTACTGACTTTTGGAAATTTAAAAATCATCAAATATCATCAAATATCGTAAGTTAAATATTGCAAAAGTTATCAAGTTTTCCTCAAATATCTCAACAAATATTAGGCAAATAAAAAAATGTTTTAGACAACAGTTATTCAAATCAATTGGTAGAAAAAAAACAGTGTAATAAAAAATAAGGGTTCCCATTTAAATTTTTCAAGTTGACCTCCAAATGACCTTGAAGTTCATGGCTAAGGTTAAATTCAAGGTCACCATCAAGTTCGTTATTCGATTTTCTACGAACTTTTGTATTTAAAGTTTTTCATGAAAACTTGATCCTGTAAAGTTATCCGGAGATTCCGGATAACCGTATTAAAAATACGGT